AGGGGGGGGGGGGCACAAGTGGATTTTTATCTGGTTCATATTTTACACACAGCTGAGTGGTTTGTTTTTATAGTAGCTTTTTATTTGGCACCAGTACTGTCCGGGTGAGGAGGGAAGACAGAACGAGGGGGGAGGAGGGGGAGAGTGTTAGTCTGCGATCACACCTGCTGTTGGTCTTTGGTCCAAACAGCCAATCAAGTGACACTGGATGAATATGAATAGTATAGATGTAGATGTACTGGTCCCAGATACAAGTTTACATCTGTTAAGTCTTTGACGCCAAATCAACGTCGGTGGTCAAATCCACACCAGGAGCCAGATGTATAAAAACTCGCCGTAGATTCATTACTAAAACTATGTGTACGCACACAACCAGAAATATACATACGCATTCTTTTCATCGGAATCATAAAGCTGAGCGTAAGCGTGGTTCAGCTTTATAAATCTTACNCCTCCTCCTCTTCCCCACCCTCACCATGGGGGGACCCTAGGCAGGACGCTACCCCCGTCCCAGGGCCCTGGCAGCACCACGTTGCCCCCACACCACCCGCTCAGCAGCACCAGCCTCAGCGGCACCATGCAGTGCAAACACAGGGCCCCCAACGGGGGGCTCTTCCGGCAGAGCCCTGGCAAGACACCCATGCCAATGTCCTACCAGGCAGTCTCCGCAGGACCCATACCAGAAGCCATTGAGGCCACCCACAGTACATCCATATAGTGATAGGAGGGGGGTGAGGGTGGGACAGGATGGGGTCAAACTGCATCTATGATGAGTCGCTCTCTGGACTCCAGTCCAGGTCTGGGTGTGGTCTAGATGTGAGGTGGGTCGGGGATCTCTAGAGGAAAATTATTATAGAAGGAAAAAAAAAAACATAATGTACAAAGTAAAAAGATTTTATATCTCACTACCTGTTCAGAAAAGCCGATGTTACAAAAAAAAAAACAAAAAAAAAAAACGGGGGGAGGCGGGCGGGTTGGCGGGTGTAATTTTTCTCTTGTACATACGTGTAAATACCAAGAGAACGAAGTGAGGTTAAAGTGTATTTTGAATATTCTCAATTTTTGAAGTTGAGTTATAAAAAACAAACAAAACGAGATAAAAAAATATATATATCTACATTGATGAAAACGTTATGACTGTTTGAATGGCTTTGTAAATTTTGTTCAATATGAAACAATGACGCGAAATTCATTGTGATTGTTTTCTAAGTGCCGAAATTAAACGATGTCTCTCCACAACTCATCGATGTAAGCGACTACCCATGATGCACCGCTGTAGGGACATTTTAGTGTTGGACACCTACTGTTATGCACCTCTGTACCAACCCTATATATATCTTCAGCATTGGACGAAAATAATCACAATTTTTTTTTTTTCATTTGTATTGAATATATAATATACATTGTTCTTTTCCAACCAAAAGTCTACATTCATTTTCTTACTTCAACTGTAAATGGTGTATCATTCAACAGTGGGCGGGAGGGGGGAGGGAGAGGGGGGGGGTGGGGCACAAGTGGATTTTTATTCTGGATTCATATTTACACCACAAGCTGAGTGGTTTGTTTTTATAGAGCTTTTTATTTGGCACCAGTAACTGTCCGGGTGAGGAGGGAAGACAGAACGAGGGGGAGGAGGGGGAGAGTGTAGTCTGCGATCACACCTGCTGTTGTGTCTTTGGTTCAAACAGGCCAATCAAGTGAACTTGGCAATGGAATATAATAGTATAGATGTAGATGTACTGCGTCCAGATACAAGTTTACCATCTGTTAAGTCTTTTGACGCCAATCAACGTCGGTGTCAATCCACACCCCAGGAGCCAGATGTATAAAAACTCGCCGTAGATCATTACTAAAAAACTATGTGTACGCACACAACCAGAAATATACATACACATCTTTTCATCGGAAATCATAAAAGCTGAGCGTAAGCGTGGTTTAGCTTTATAAATTTTAGTTGTACAAGCCTCATTTCCACTCCCACAATTAGCCATAAAGGGATGAAGACTCTCCCTCAATCAGTTTGTCTCCACCACAAGTGATCAGACACAGAGAGGGAAGATGAGGAAGAAGAAGAATTTCACTGATTGTGAAACTGAGGTTAAAACCTGCATCAGTTTACTTTAGTACAGTCACTGTAATGTAAAGTCCTGTTTCACTCTGAACTTCACTTATTGGGACTAGAGAGTCTTAATGAGGCTCCAGGGACTGTAACACTGTGATCAGTGAATATTCAAATAGTATCAAACAGTTACAGAATGACTCACAATAAATAATGAGTATATTAAATGATGCTGAGGGAAGCATTGAGCACAAACACAATTATTTCTGTATATGGATTGTAAAATTATAACGATGATAATGAATGAAGCTCCGTGAAGTTGGTTTTATTTTACGTTAACTGTCCCGGCTTATTTATATTTTCACTTATTTCACTATTTTCAATCACTTTGGAAAACAGTGTGTTCGCATGGTCAAAGGAATGTGTGAGGTGACACATTCTGTCTTTATAACGAGCAATTTATGAGCGGGATATGGCGTACGCATCATTTATGCATCTGGCCCCAGGGCTTGTATTTGATTTGTGTCCATTACAATGGGCAACACAGCCTCACCGCCACACAAAGATCCCCAACGTCTTCATGTTTTCTGGTGGCTTTCTTTTCTCCTGATGAATCATCAAATCATGGTTCACCAGTTGAATATGAAACAACTCCAGATGCTTTGGTTGGCTTTTGATTGACATCTAGTTGCTGGTTCCAACAACATTTAACCATAATCCCTTGTGTTTCTGTGTCATTTCCAATGGGACCAGCTCTTGAGTTTTGAGGCTTGAGAACCTGGTGTGAACGCAGCCTGACAGTCTCTGGATTTCTTTTTGTTTGTTATATTTAACCTGAAGAAGAAAGAAAACTATCAGCTATATAGATATGTCTTTAATTTTTGATACTAGAGAACTTAAATGTCAAACACTTGTATACAGGTTTTTTCTCCTGCAAAGCAGTGCAGTTATTTTAATCAGACAGAGAGAGAGAGAGAGAGAGAGAGGCCTCATATTTCCACAAGTCACTCCTAATGAGATCCATTATCACCTGCGGTGATGACAGAGGGCGTCATTATCCGAAGTGCAATCAGAGGCTGGTGATGGTGGAGATTTGTGCAGGTGCCATACCTCAACTGCTTGTAATATAGAAGGGATCTGATTATGTTTGCTAAACACTAGATTGTTTTTCTCTGTGGAATACTGTATGATGAACCTTTATGGAAAACTATTTTCAACAGGAAATATAAAACCCACACACGATACCCCTCCTTTTGCTATCATAAGTGCAATTACTGTGCATTTATGGGCCTAATGAGTTTTGACTTCATTTTCATTTAGCAGATATTGGCGGTTTGGAAACACATTGATCACACACAGTAGAGCGTTCGGGAGGCGAACAGCCAGACCCCAAACAGAAGCAGACAGTAAGCTCACCTTTCACCTTTACTTTCTGTTCTGAAGTTTAACATCAGAGGAGGAAACTGAACGACCTTCACTTGTCAGAACGAAGGGTTTTACTCCTACAACTCAATCTGAAGACAGGAAAACAAACAATCTTATTGGTAATGTGTCATCAGTGCTAAATAATCTGAATTCCCAACAATATAAACAAAGCAACATTTCTAACTGTATCGCCAAACAAGAACAAGAACGGCTACGTTGAACAAAGAAGCAAAAGCAAGACTGCGTCCAATCTGCGTTTTTTTTTTTTTTTTTTTAAAGATCTAATGTGTTTGTTTGCTTTTGAACTCGTCCCTATCTACAGTCTCCGTAGCGACAGGTCAGGGGAGGATCGTGTTTATGGCAAATAAACTACAGTCAAGAAATGTTTAAGATTACTCAACTAAAGCACTTGGTTGGGGTTAATCAGGGTTTGCACAGTTGTTGAGCTCAGCACTCCATGTGTTACTTTGTGATTCAGTCACGTAGCATTTCCTACACAAACCTCAGGGGAGACGTACGAGTGGAACCGAGAAACAGGCCAGAGCACTCGACAGCTCAGTCTATAGAAATATTAGAATTTAGGCCACTCTTCATTGGACGATTTTTGTCCCAAAAGGAAAAGGTGAAAATTGTAAGAGAAACGTGGTGAAGGTTCTGGTCATCAGTCCAAAACGGACCAGACTGTGAGACGCTTGGAGACCAACGAACAACCTGCGTCCAACTGATCAGAAAACGACAGGAAAAGATGCAGAAAGCTAAAACTATCATTCTACACTCTGTTTGCCCAAGTTTTTTTAAGCTTGTTTAAAGCTTTGTTAAAATTTTTTAAA